TACTAGGGGCTCCTGGCCTTACTACTAGGAACAAGAAGCTACTAGGGTTACTAGGGGCTCCTGGCCTTACTACGGGACGCTACTAGGAGGGGCTCCTGGCCTTACTACTACGAGCAAGGATGCTACTAACAGCAAAAGGAACCTAATAGCATTAGCCTTCAACCTAAGAGCGATGGCCTCCAACCTACTAGCGATGACCACTCCGGGTAAATTTGTAGGCATTCATGGGACTTCCTCATACTCATGGGCGAAGTCGTCACTTTGTGTCTTTTCTCTGTGGACACTGCCATACGCTGCCTCACTGGAATTTTTTTCTGATGGAGATGATGTAGATTCATGGATACGCTTCTCATGGCGAGCAGAACGAGACTCTGAAGATAGATCATCATCTTCAAGTCTCAGTGTCATTTGACATGGGTGCAGCCCCTCATTCCTTGTGGGATGTTGGTTCATGGACATGTTGGAAGAGCTTGGGCCATGGTCATGGTTTAATAATGTTTAATAAATGAGGTTCGCGTCAAACCACGGTGGTGCCTGCGATCGCGCCAGGCAATCAACATGCGTATTATTAGCGTGTAAGGACCAAAAACAGTCACTCGACACAGACGAGGCTTTCCTCCCTCACCCGTGGGCAAATATTGAAACCGCAAATACCGGAAGATGCCTAGGAGCAAGGACGCTACGAACGGGGCTCCTGGCCGTACTACTAGGAGCAAGAAGCTACGAATGGGGGTTGGCAACGCGCCATGTGTTCACCAGTCATCGGTGCGTCAGGTCTTGTCAAAAGTGGAAGGAATGACAAGGGCCTTGGAAGAGATCCTGCGGTAGCGTGTACAGACCGGCAGTGTTAATGCCAACAAAGTCCAGCAATGCCTCACAGACCGTTTTATTTGCACGTGGTTTGAACATTTGCAATTATTTAGCTTGGCCATCCAGCCTGATCCATGTATTGCTGTCCGTTTCCATCACTCAACAAGGCAGACCATCGCTGAACCGAAGTTTTGGGGTGTGGCAGCAACAAGCGATTTGAAGTGCATCTCCTTTGAGTGTTTTTGTGAACCACAGTGCGGTGTCGTTCAGAGGCAAATTTGTTGGAGGTGCGAGAGAAGAATGCTCGCGCGTTAATGAGAGGCTAGGGTGGCCCTGAACGAGCCTGTTCACGGTTGAAATATGTTGAATTCATGTTGGTGCTCATGGTCAGTACTGGGGAAAAAGAACTTTTGGATCTCCTTGCTATGCAGTGCTTGGACCACCCTGCGAGCCATCAAAGACCAATCGCTTGAGAGAAAAGAGCAGCGATAGCAGATGCTTGATCAACTGTTGATCAGCGGATCAAGTTGTTGGAATGGCATCTCTCAAAATGGACATTTCCCAGAACTAGTAGCTTCTTGTTACCATTCAACTATTGGGCAGAACAAGTGCTCCGGGCGAAACCTCTTGTATGATAAGCCAACGCAATTCCTCCAGCTACTGTAGCAGATGCGGAGTGCAGTTCTTCTGTCTATCAAGGCAAAATCACATCATGCCCAGTTGGTTTACTTCTCTGATCTACCCAGAGACCGTTTAACTGTAGCCACAAAAAGCGTCCTCTACCCTGTGCTCTCCATGGGGCATGGATCTTCCTAAACACTAGCTCTCACTACTTTGGACTTAGCTTTGTTCCCTCCCCAGACAGAGCTTTGTGCTAACCACACCCAGCAGGTCGGCTTCGAGAGCGACGGCAGCAGCGGTTGAAGATGAGCTTCTTCAATCAAACGACGGCGGGGTCTCCGGGTGGCTGAAGTGGACGGAGCCGTGTACGGAGCCGTACGGAGCTAGAGTCGAGACGAAGAATTCGTCAATTCTCATCTGCATCCATTTTGTTCCACTTAGAGGATGGCGCAGATGAAGATCCATGGCCTCCAACCTACTAGCGTCCGAACGCTCCGTTCGTAGCGATGCCCTTTGTTGCTAGTAGCGTTCTTACTAGGCCAGGAGCCCGTTCGAAGCGTCCTTGCTCCTTAGAGGATGGCTCAGATGGCGGACAAATTGAGAGCACCGACTTCAGGCGCTCTTGGAGTCGGTGGTGCAGACCTGGTTTCAAGTGGCCCGCGACCATCGCCGCTCGCGAGCGAAGATGAGGGATGAGGGATGATGGATGTTTCACTTCCTTGGGGCAAAAGCTATGCAGCTATTGCCATTGCTATGCAGCTAGCTTCCTGTTACTACTGTAGTAGTAAGAATGCTCTCTTGTAGCGATGCCCGGGTTCCTAGTAGCTTCTTGCTCCTAGTAGTATGGCCAGGAGCCCCTAGTAGCTTCTTGGTAGTGCCATATTGCATGTCAATTTGAAAACGGGTCCAACACCAGCCACGAAATCTAAGAAGCACTACTCGACCTTTTCACTTTGCTAGATCGGGGAAATGTCTTCAAGTCATTGCTGGTGGGTTTTGACCAGCCGAAGAAGACGCGGCAACAAGAAGACGCGACAGCGCAGCAAACTGCACCGAGGAATAACTCGCCGGAGGCTGCACGAGAGGGGGAGAGGGGGAGAGGGAGAGGGGTGCACTGTTCCTAGTAGCGTCCTCTTGTTCCTAGTAGTAAGGCCAGGAGCGCCCCATTCGCAGCGTCCGATCGCTCCTTCGTAGCGATGCCCTTTGTTACGTTCGTAGCTTCTTCTTGTGCACGGAATTGTGGCACTTCAGACTGAGATCCTAAGCCTCCCAGAAGTTTGTAAGACTGAGTCTCCAGCCTCGGGGGTTTGAAAAGAGGTAGGGTAAGTCACCCCCGACTGAGACGCGACAAGGTTCTGCCAAGACACAGAAAGTTCCATTTTGTTTCATAAAGTGTCCTTTTGGAGGATCTATGAATAGCAGGCATCTTGTAAGATCAATTGCGGGGTGTCTCTTTAGAGTCTTTCACATTGCCATCGCTCTGAGGTTGGAGGCCATCGGTTAGAGGTAGAAGTGGTATTGTTTGTCACCCTCTCATGCTCAGAGATGCTTGTCAGGCAAGAAATGCTCCGGGATAAGAAACTTCGGGCAGGGATTCCCAATGGCGTGCAGCAAAAAGTTGTCCGGTTGCTGGTGCCTCTAAGCCACACTTATTTCAAAAAGGCTTCTTTAATGGTGGAAATGATACGATGGGCCTCAGTTCTGAAGCGTCAATCGAAAAGCGTCCAGTTGAAATCTGCATTGTGAGAAATAACATCGCATCCGACACTGAGAGTAGCATTCTATTGTTGCACGATTTCCACAAGAAATGTTTTGCCGGCAAACAGGACGTTTCAAGAATCCACACCATCATTCTACATTGACGATGTTTTTACTGAAGGGTGGTGGTGAGGGGTTCACCCCCTCATTCGACTTGAGCACCACAAACACGTGGGTGACCAAGCGAGCTGCGTGTCCTTCTTTGCCGTGCGGAGCAATTCAATAAACCGCCCAGGCACAAATCCATTCTAAATACTACTAGTAAGGCACTTGTTCCTAGTAGCTTCTTGTTACTACTAGTAAGGCACTTGTTCCTAGTAGCTTCTTGTTACTACTAGTAAGGCACTTGTTCCTAGTAGCTTCTTGTTACTACTAGTAAGGCACTTGTTACTACTAGCGATGCACTTGTTTCCTAGTTTCTTACTAGTATTAACCACCAGGGGTGGTCCTTCTCTCGTCATCCACTCTCACCTTTTCGGAGCGGACGTGGAGAGCGAACAATGGAGAGCTCGGAGCTGTAAATGAGCTCCGGCCTCACTCCTTGTTTTGGCCAACGAACGCGGCCGTCGCGGAATCCGCCTCACCGATCTCAGGAGGTGACGCGGATCCTCCTCACTGGGATGCTACATGGAGCCGAGCTCTTCTGCATCCTCGAGGCAAGATGCAATGGCCTCCAACCCAATAGCGATGGCCTCCACCTACTAGCTTCCCGTTACTAGTAGTACGGCCAGGAGCCCTAGTAGCGTCCTTGCTCCTAGTAGTAAGGCCAGGAGCCCCTAATAGCTTCTTGTTACTAGTAGCTTCAAAGACATACTAGTAGCTTCTTGCTCCTAGCAGCGATGGCCTCCAACCTAATAGCCGTTTGTTGGCGACATTGTTGCCTTGGAGGGTCGGAGGAGTCTAAGTGTGATTGGTGAGAAGTGACACATGGACACTCATATTGATTGCTTGGATCTGATCTGAGCTCTCAGACTAGGTTTTGGATGATTTTAGAATTTTCCAATGTGTCCATGTCCTTTCAATTTCACCAAGACCCAGAGACTATGCCAGCTTGACCAGTCAAATCATTCAGCATGAAGGCCGAACATGAGACGACCTCAGCCCGCCCCGCCGACCCCGAACACCGGCCCCACGTTGTGACTCCACATCGTCAGAAGTGGCAGAACTGGCCTGCCAAGGTGCATTTGCACTCGAAATGAAACAGTACTAGTAGTTCTGGGTGTAGTGAAGAGTGCTAGGTGTAGCCTTTTCAGGGAGGCTAGTAGGTTGGAGGCCATTACCACTGGTTGCCGGTGAGGCCTGGCATCAAATGGTGCAAGAGCGCCGTTCCGGCGAAGAGAAAAAGCTCAAAGCCCAGAAGGCGATCGAGAATGGGCAGCGTGCTTAAGGTGAACGAGAGTGTGAACGATTCCAGGTGGATTCCAGGTGGGGATTGTATAGTGGGCCCCCAAATAGATACAAACGGAACCTAAAACACTCTTCAATACATTTTCACTTTTCTATATAATTATCTATTTAGGGGTCAATAAAACATGTACGATGCAGTCATGCAGTCATGCAACATCACACACAACACGAGTTGACGGTCAAATGGGTGGTTGACCGGTTGACCAAACTGCAATCCACGGTTTCTTCTGCGAGGTAGTTTCAGTCGACAAAGCCATGTAAATCTTCTTCACCTGTCCTTGTACATGTTTCAGTCCAAACTGAAAGCTTAAACAAATAAATGAAAGCAACTGCAACTAAAAACAGAAAAGGACAGAAAAAGATAAAGGCACAAACAAATAACAACATGAAAGCAAATGAACGCCATCTCTCAGTGCAGTGGACAGGTCATCTCTCAGTTGGCCTCAGATCAGCTGGGAATGGCCTTCACTGGTTGGTGCGCGGCTTGCAAGGCAGACAGATCTGGGTGGATGTGAATCTCAAGTCATGGGGTTTGCAGGATTTCACAGGGGCCATGTTCGCCAAAAAATACGAAACCTACCTTGGATCTTAGAGCGGGTTCGATACGGTCAAACGGGCTTCGCCTGAATCGGTGCGGATGCCGGCCAGCTCCGGTGTCGTCACCGCCTTGCCCCGTTCGTAGCGATGCCGCTCCGTTCGTAGCATCCGCAGCATCCAGGTTCAAGGTCGAACATTTTAAGGTCCGCTCCATCCAGAGCGGTCCAGCGAGTCCGCACCATGCAGAACTTGTGCCATCAGTCGACGTTCATCGATATGAAGAGGCACCCAGACTTGGTGAGATCCCAAAGCTGGCCACTCCTTCAGCCGGTGGTTGAGGACATGGATGTCAAAGAGTCTCGGTTTCAATTCAGGAACCAGTTTTGGGAGAAGACCCTTCAACTCGTTGCTTTGCAGCTCAAATTAATCCAGCTGACAACCCCAATAGCAAAGCGTCAACCAAGATCTGGCGCATGTTTTCTGCGTGCGCGGCGTTCGTTGCGTTGTTAGGCACTTGAACACTTGAAACATACAATTCGACCATAGTCAAACATTCCTTAAGTGCTTCGTGGTCAGAACATACACAAACTATATATTGGATTGCACTGCATGTATATTTTTGCTTTTAAAACTTGCCTTCGATATTCGACATGGTGTATATATAGGTCTGAAGAATCAAGCACATTGGCAAGAATCGTACCGTCTATAGGTATACATACATACATGCATACATACATACATAATTACATCATTACATTACATTATATTACATTGCAGACATTGCATTACATTACATTACATCACATAAATACATACATACATACATACATACATACGCGTGCAAGTTCTATTCGGAAAAAAATGAACACCAAAGAAGCAGGAAAAAGCATTGAATAATTGTACATGCAAGGTGCAATGAATGCAGCTGCCAAAGAGGACATACTTGGAGTATTGGCGCCAGGGAAGATACATGTTTGGACACCCAAAGGCATAGTTTATACAAAAGCACGCAAACCAAGCGAATAGGGAAAGCAGAGATGAGGTTTACAACAGTAAGCAGGAAATATACATCAAAGCAACGAACGTATGTACATGGGCCAACGCATAACTTATACAAGAACGATACAGGAAACGCAGTGTCAAGCAAGGAGTTTTTTACATGTCAAAAGAACTTTTCCACCAGCATCAAAACATTGCAATGTAATCACACAGTTTAGTGTTACTGAAACAAGTTCACTATCTGAACAACATGTAGCTTTCATAGACCACGAGACACTCAAGGAATGTTTGCCGATGGCCGAAACTCATGTTCAAGTGCCCACAAACCGTTTTTGCAATGGAGAAACATACTCACAAAAAATCAAAAGAATTCAAGTGCCAGCGGAAAACATATACCAAAAAGACATCGCACCAAGCACCATAGGCGTTTCAACATGGGCGCACACAATTTCCACACACACCAAGAAGGATACATTTCAAATGATATCGTAGGGGATCAATATGAACATATGACAATAAAACGCCACTACCAAAAGAAAGGACCATATATTTTCAATAACGTACGCACTATTTATACACGACAGGTGCAATAAATGCAGTTGTCAAAGGGAGCATAGTTTAAGTATTTGCGCCACGGAAGATATACGTGCTTGGGCATGCGAGCGCTTAGTTAATACATAAAGAAGACTAATGTGTTTCCAAAAGGGACAAAAAATACGAATATCCACAGAAGCAGAACATGCATTTGCCCGCCAACTAAGATTCTATACCAAGGCAATTCAAGGGATGCTCTTCTCAAGCGAAGCAGTATTTTTCATGTCGACATAGGCTTTATACATTCACGCGCAATATGATGTTTCAGTGTCAGTGCGCAATGTGCACCAGGTGTATGGACTTGCAAGCACACAGACTGAGACCGAGACACCACAACATAAGGACACCATCAAAACATCAGCGAACCGCCAAAACAGAATCGATGACCCAGACAGACACTTCCTAAACATGACCGAGACACCGGGACACCACTGCCCAGGCCGCCCAGCTGCCTAAAGAGTGTTCAACCCCATGCTGTTGCTATTGGGGAAGCATTAAGAAATGACTGTTATTTATATATATATATATTCAATATGTAAAAAAAAAATACGATTTTTTGATTTTTTAATTGACATGACATAATCATAGTTTGTTAATCATAGTAGAAGCCGTTTCAACTCTCTTCACCTCTGCAGCTGAACAATCCGTTTGCCAACGTGTCTTTTGGTTCGATCTCAAGACGTGTTGTTCAACGTGAGGAGTACATGGAGGCCTTGGTGCAGCGCTTTCAGCCTCGCGCACCGCCGGTTCAGCGCTTTCAGCGACATCCTGGAGCGATGGGACCGCTTGCTCCCGGACCATAGACCGGCTGAGAATGGGGCAAAATCTGGACAAGTTCGGGGAGTTTCTAGAGGTGTTCTAATAGCGATGACCTCCAACCTAACCTATTCGCGATGGCCTCCAATCTAGTAGCGATGGTGTTTTGAACATGCTTGAACATGATCGCTTTCTTTGTGCCCGTGCTTCACTGACCAGCTTGTCCATCTCTCATGCCGACTAAACTATTCTTGCCAACTTTTTAAAGGAATTTTTTGCTCTGAAAGTTGCGATGCCGGACATCAAGCTGCATGGCAGAGCCTGCCGTTAAGGGGTCCGGTCATCAAAGAGCAATTTGGGGTCAATCCCATCACATAAGACTCTAGGGTTGTAGTTCTTTTGCGTGTGCAGTAACGAGAAAATATCTAGAATCTAGGTGTTTCTTGGTTTCGTGTATGTTACTGATTGTACCCCAACTTGATTGTGTTCTTTCCTAGAATGATCTAAATTTCTTGCAAGCGATTTGAAGTTCCTTGCACAGAACGGTGAGAGGAAACAAGCGAAAGCGGAAGGGCGGACCTCGTGAGTTCAGGACATGCAGGACATGCATGTTAATGCATGTTAATACATGCATGTTCGTGTAGCATGGCTTCGATGGGTTGGTAATTATAATCGATATGTGGCGTTTGCATGATCTCATGCATTGGTGGCAGTGCAACAGACAATTGAAAATGAATGTTTGAAGATTCCCTGACGGGGCTTCATCAAGCCACTGGGTGTGGGCCTCCGGTAGACACGCACGGTCTGTGGCTTTGCATTCCCAACTAAGACAGACACCAAACCTTTGCACCAAGTTCTTTGTTTCGAAGATCCAACCCTTTGCGCAAATCATCCACTGCGATGCTGGGGTCCGAAGAAGTTTGTTTGGCCAAGAGCCTACAAAAACTCCTTGCGCCTACATCAAGATGTTTTCATGTTGAAACCTAGCTTGTTGTTCTCTTAGACGGTTCTCTCCTTTTGTCTTTCTTCGGACCTTTCTTCCTTTGTGTGTCCTTTGGATCGGAGTATTCTCGGAACCTCGGACTGATGTCATTTCTTCGGTCTCGAAACCGTCCCCGGCAGGCCCAGCGTGCTGCAGAGGCACAGCGTTTTCAGGCGGTGCAAAAGACTGTCCTTGTAGGTTCGGTGGCCCAGATGGGAAGTGGGGCCGCAATAGGCAGTGGGATTTAGAGCGTTTTATAGCTGGAAGCTGCTGCCCAGGGTTGGGTCTTTTTTTCAAGTGGACTAAGCCTAAGCGCCTAGTTACTCTACTCTTTGTTTGTCAGTGTTGCATTTACGGGTTTGAGTTGCCAGGTTGCTGGTAAAACCTGGTGAACAAACCCACTTGTCTCAGGACTGCAAGCCACAGTGGGCGTTGTATGGGCTGCTTGGGCCAAAGGCGCTGAGCAAGCCGGCAGTTTTCTTGGAAGTTCTTCCACTAATCCCAATCATGCACAAGTGAAAAAAGGTGGAGAGTCGGGATCTTCCAAATCTGAGCGGTATGGAACTTTGGAACCTTCCACTTGCAATAGGCCCAAGACTCCATGTCCCACAGCAAACTCTTCCGACAGCGCAGCCCTGACAATGTGTAAAGGATTCAGCCCCAACGTCACTGTCCGCCACTGTCAGGGAGTGGGTCCCCACATCGATTTAGCCCCAACGCCTGCTAAACGGCGAAGGAGTGTAGGCGTGAAGTACACAAAACGAGGCACTCCTTTGGTGGTCACTTGGCACGTTCGCAAAAGGCACCAATGCTTTTCTTCCAGCATCTCTTGTAGGATCAGTTCACTCACAATAAGGACCGGTTGAGGCTTAAGGATGAAAAGACATAGCAGTGAAGAGAGAGAGAGAGAGAGATAAACATAAGGCAACAGTTGAACATATCTGAAGATGTCGTTTAACACTCCCCAAGCAGCCCAAGCATTTGCAAACGCTGAACAGGCTTGGCTAAGCGAAAACGGAAACAGCAACTTCTGCAGCACCTGCGCGCAGCTCAGTTATCCTGATGGGTGCCTTTGTTGTGTGTGTGTGTGTTTACCTGAGGCCTACTAGCGATGGCCTCTCCAACCTACTAGCGAGCTATGGCTTTGCAATGCTTTGCATGATAGTTGATTTGTGTTATACAATTTAGCTGGGTGTCCAATGGTTTCTGGGTCAGCTTGCCGGGCCAACAACTTGCAGAGCACAAATCGTTGAGGTCAAACATGTCATGGCTAAAGTAGCGATGCCCTTGCTCCGTTCGTAGCGATGCCTGCTCGTCTCTTGGCTCAAGACGCATACTATTTTAAATCCGTTTTTTCGACGGCCACGTGGGGCGAACGGCGAATGGGGAGCACTGCCACTCAAGTGGATTTGAACCGGTTGGACTTCCGCAGAGCGGAGCCACGTCCAGAGACCCGTTCGAGACACGGAGGAGAAGTGACGATGACTTCGCTTCAGAGACGTTTTTGTGTTATTTTTGTTATAAGTTATGGTGTTTTCATTTGTCTTTTGCATCAAAGAGGTGTGCCACAATGTGACATGAAACATGTCATGTCATTCATTTCATTCATTTCATTCATTTCACTATATGTCATTTGAATGTGTTAAGCGGGTGGGCGAGAATGGGCATCCGGTAGACTCCCAAAGTGATATGTTTGTGCCGAACACTATGCGTGATCTTATGCCTCAGATTTCAACATTGATCTCGGCACTATGTGTGGAGCCTGCGTATGTCTCCTACTATCGCCGCCAGCAACAGCACCAGGCGGCCAGGGAAGTAGAGATGCTCGGTCAGTGAATTTGAGCGAAGAATCTATTGTTTGGCCAAAGATTTTCGTCTTCGGATGTCTTTGGGTGGGCATGAGGGACACGTTTCTTTCCGATTGTGGATCCCATTCAATTCTCCGAGGAGAGACTCTGCTTGAGGAAACATGGAGTTGGTTCGTTAAGATGGTAGATTCGTGCATCTAAACTAACATGAAAGACTTAGAAGCTGGAGGCAGACTGTTTCCGCCAAAGCAAGGAGCAGCCGTCAAGATGAGCCAATCAATCGCTGAGAAATGCCAGTTGAAGCGCCTATTTTGGAGCGCCAAGAGCCAGGGCAGCAAAGTGCTGTGACCATTTCGGCCATGCAGAAGGCATGTGAGGGTTGATCACAGTTGTCAAATCGAAAGGAACAAGATTCCCTTTGCAACTCTGACCAGTCCTTTGCCTATCAGACGCTGCACGCTTTTTTGAAGCAGGCTATCCACCAAATCAATCCTCTAGGCCAGAAGGTCAACCTTCCTTGGCGCCATCCCCGCTAATCACTTCTTTCTTGCCAAATGGGCTTCCTCGGAAGGAAGTCTCTTAATCGGGGCACGTAGCACTTTTCAAGGTGGACAGCTGAAGGCTGTGACTCATGTGACGAAGCCGCTACACAGATGTCAAAAGAAGAGCTCGCAGATCGTCGCGGATCGTCTGGAAGTGGAAGGGCAGGCTCCTCGGGAACCTCTCAAAATCCCTTTAAGCATTTGTGGTCAAAAAAATTGTTTGGGGTCTCATCTTTTGACAAGGCGTTCACAGGATCTGCGTGCTCACATACCAACTGAACGGACATGAGACTAGCTGGCCTGGAACAAGCGCTCGGGACCCTCATCCCCACTTTTGAACATAACCCATTGACGTCCATTTCGCATGCTGATGGTGGTGGCACATTCTCGTACCAAATGTTTGACCACAGGAGATATTTCATCAGAGTGTACAAGGTCAGACCAAGTCGGATGCCCTGAAGGCCCTTCGGCTCTTTCCTCCAAGTGTTTGGTGTAGCCTGTGGCCCCACCTGCGTGTGTCAATCGTACAAGTCAGACACGTCTCATATCGTCTAGACTCGTGACTCTCTGGCGCGGAAAAACAGGTTCTTACAGTGTGGAACATGTCCTTGTTCAGAATAGTTTGAACAAATTGGACAGCAACAACCTGTCTACAAATGGGGTTTGTTCTTTTGTAGCCTCGAAAGGTGGGGATTGGACACTTGGTGCGATTGGACGAAAGGTGACTCCAAACCTGCGCAGTTTTCGCTCGGTCAGTCCACGAAGCCAGTGAACCAAAGGGAACTGTTGGCCTGAAATGGGGGGACCTTTGGTTTGGAACAATCCGTGGCCCCATCTTGCTTGTCTTGCCCAAGATGCATGTCATGACTTCAGAACACTTTTCTTGATTTCACCAGAACTAGTACCAAGCTAGAGTGTACTTAAAAAGCTTGAGCAGTTCCTTCAGAACTTCAATGAACTTAGGGACCTTGGCCATCGCTAGGTTCTTAGAACCTCTCGGACCCTTTTACACCACCTTTTCGAGGTCCGCCTCCTCGGAGCAGAGCCTTCAACTGGCCTTCGGTGCCTGGTGGCGGCACTGCAACGTCTCGAAGGCGAGCCGTACGACGTCTCGGAACGGCGAGACGAAGCGGGACGAAGCGGAGCGGAGTCGGGGGCCTTTCTTTGGCCTCGCTACTAGTAACAAAGGGCATCGCTACTAGGAGCAAGAAGCTACTAGGGGCTCCTGGCATCGCTACTAGGAGCAAGGACGCTTCTAGGGGCTCCTGGCCCTACTACCAGGAGCAAGAAGCTACTAGGGGCTCCTGGCCTTACTACTAGGAGCAAGAAGCTACTAGTAACAAAGCTACTAGTAACAAGAAGCTACTACTTATGGCCTCGCCACTGGGGGGCTCCTGGCATCGCTACGAACGGAGCTTTCGGACACTACTAGGGGCGCTCCTGGCCTTACTACTAGGAACAAGAAGTTACTAGGAACAAGGAGCCTAATAGCGATGGCGTCCATCCTAGTAGCGACCTTTCTTGTTTGAATTGACTGGGGACACGTGTTTTTGACTGGGGAAACTTGATGAAATGTGTGAAGTATCAACCATTGCGAGATTTCTTCATCCATGCGTCTCAAACTGGCCTTTGATTGGTTTGTTCTTTGTGGCATAGCCCCGAAGGCGGTCGGGAATGAATCCGATGCACCACACCAATCCCTCCCAACCTCCCTGGTTTGACACCCAGTGAGAAGGAGGGTAGCAGTGAAACGTGAAACCCAAGAAGAGAACCTCAGGCACGACATTCTCGCAGAAGCTCCGCGGCAGAGCGGGCTGTTTTGAAGAGCCTCAGGCAGGGGGGTAAAGGCAAAGAGGTTCAAATGCAAATCCTCCTGAGGGTCAATCGCCACCAGACCAAACCATTGGAGGGACAGAGTTAATTACTAGTAACAAGAAGCTACTAGTAACAAGGGCATCGCTATTAGGAGCAAGGACGCTACTAGTAGCTCCTGGCCTTACTACTAGTAACAAGTAACAAGGATGCTGCTAGGAACGAAGGGCATTTCTACTAGTAAGAAAGTGCATTACTACTAGTAGCATTCTTACTACTAGGAGCAAGAAGTTACTAGTAGCAAAGGGCAAATCTACTAGTAACAAGGAAGCTACGAACAGGGCACTCCTGGCATTACTACTAGGAGCGTTCGGATGCTACTATGCTAGTTTTGAAGTCACCGGAATGTTGCTGAAGCGCCGCGCAGCATTCGAGCGGATTCATAGACGCACGGTCAGACAAGGCGAGACATTTGGGCCACCAGCATGGTGCGCACCAGCTGGAGCTGTTTTTCTTTCATACAGAAAATGCCTCCAACGCTCAACTCAATGAGAAACTCAGATCGGAAGCGCAAAAAGAACAAGAAGCTACTAGGGGCTCCTGGCATCGCTACTAGGAGCAAGGACGCTAATAGGGGCTCCTGGCCGTACTACTATAGGAACAAGAAGCTATACTAGAAGATGATCGGATATTCCCACAGAGATGATACGCCTCGGAGACTGCAGGGGCATCCTGTCGGAGAGCTTCACGGAGTGGAAAGACCTTACGCGCAGTGAAAGGCCGGAGAAAGTGAAGAGGAACGACGAGAAACAAGATAAAACATAGAAAATATATGTACAATTACCTGTCCTATTAGTCTATAGTATATGAAGCAAAAAGAGGCGAATTATAGAGGAGCCTCTCTCACAAGGTTCCCTTGAAAGGGGGCCTTACTTAAAGAGGTCCTGACCTTTTTCTTCTTTTTTTTCTTTCCTGAAATGGATGGCCAAGAGGAACCCTGGTACTCTAGACCTCGATTCAACTGAATCGACGGATTCTCCGAGCGGCCAGTTTTTTAATGTCCTGCATCATTCTGTGTTTCTAACGTTCGCCAACCTACTGAAGTCTTGAGAAGTCAACTTGTGATCAGTGATGATCACTGTTCCCATGTTCGCCCGTGTTTCTCCCAAGCCTTCTCTTGTTTGTTTGGCCGGAGGCTTCACGTGCTTGGAGGCCAATTGGCCCGAGCCAAAGGCAACGTGAAGGCCTTGAGCGCCTTGAAGCTGTCCGACAGCCCAATGAAGCGGGACACGGCCGGACACTTCGGTTTTTCATGTTGATGAAAATCGGTTCTTGCCTTTTCCGGCTGGCCCCAAAACGCAATTGAAATTCTGGGTCGTGCCATTCTTTACCTTATATATTTTTTTTAAAGCTTGGAGATGATAGCATTTGGCGATCATGCATCTCCATGTCTCTTGGGGTTCTGCGCGGTTTGTCAGGATACCGTGTCGTTTTTTGACCTACTTGCACCTCAGGCACCCGAACTTAAGCACCGCTGCTTCTGTTGCTGCACAGCACGAGCGTTTGCGCACTCCCAAAACGCTGCACTCGCTGCACTCGCTGGCAGCGACATTCCAGCCGCTGGAACGCTGAGGAAGACCGTTTTGCAGCCAGGTCCTCAGAAAGTTTGCGACACTTCTGTTGTCCTTCTGCAGGTCTCGTATGGTCTTGTGGCATAGTGTTGTACCATGTTGTACCCGTATGATTTGCCTTCCAAATCCACCCTGTTGGTATAAAACGGCACCTTGCGCAGCGAACGGCACCTTTCTCAGGCAGGAGAGCGGCTGCATGTGTAGGATCCTGATGTGCTGGCAGTTGTGGACCTCAGCCTGAAGCCTCAGCCTGAAGCCTCTGCCGTCGTGACGATGGTGAAAGCCGGCACTCTTCGGATGTCGTCGTTTGAGTGATGGCAGCTGATGTCGTTTGGAAAGTCCCATCGAAACATCTAAGAAGTGTTTCTAGCCACCTTCCATCTTGACATGACAATGTTCGATCTTGCAACATCTATTGTCCAAGGAACTCATGGACTTGTATATATGGCTGCGAGTTTCTTTGCATGGCTGAAGCTCCCCCAGGCGACCTCATCCTACAATCCTGAAAAGATTCGAAAGCCGTGTAAGAGGAAGACGTCTTGTATGTGGAAGCAAGATGCAGCAAAGGGTGGTCAGGACCCAAAGATTTGCCCTCTCCACAAGAGGTGGCCAGCGACCGCGCTCCTGGGAGGGTTTCCTGTGATGTTAGGAAAGGAGATTTTGACACACTCCTGACCTTTACACTTCCTGGCCAAGTCGTATTCAACAACGAAAAATGACAGTCAACTAACCGTGCTATCCGACAAGTGACTTGGTATTCATTGGCGAACCTTTGGGCTTCCAAGGTCTTGTTTCCTTGTCCTATCATGCCTGTTGCTCACCATGAACTGCCTTTCTGACCACCTTCACGTCACCCAAGTGAAAAAGAAATTCTCGTCCATTGGAAACTGCGAACGCAAGGAACAGCTGGCCATCCAAAAGGAGCGCCGCCGACTGGCGCGCACCGCTGGGCTGGGCCGCTCATCAGCCCGGAATGCCCAGAAGGGACGTCGGACAAGGGAACAAGGGACAAGCGATGGCCTCCAACCTACTAGCGATGGGGAACAAAGGAAACATCGCTTGTGCTGGAGTTCATGTGTCAAAAAGCATTCTAAGTAGAGAGTACTGGGTAGTTTTTGGTCCAAACACGTCGACTTTTTTCTAGCTATGTTGTTGCTGCACCGGTAGCAGTAGTCTCGTGCGATGCGATGCCTTGCATACTAGACGAAGCTTCCAAGGGCAAACAGAGTATGTTCCCTTCAGGTTTCCTTGAATTTGATGTGTTGAACGATAATCTTGGGGCAAGCTTTTGGGGAGAGAAGAGAGATCTTGAGTGTGCTACAGTTGCACAGCCTTTGCCTGATGAGTTACCATTCGCTAAACGCCATAACCTGTACCAACGAGTTAAGAAATGCCTTCGTACAAAAGTCTCGCTTTATACAATTTCCTTGGATTCTTAAATTTGAAATTTAGATGCTTGATGGACTTGATCGTCACCTTTTTGTTTACTTAATTCGCTATTGTTTGGCCAGGGGATATCCGGTTGAACTAGCGGGGCTTCAGGCATGTGTTGGTACATACTGTTGGTGTAAAGGTCTAACCTCCAGTACCCCCCAATGGGGAAGGACTGTGAGGTGCGTTTGGAGTTGCTCTAGTTGTGTGTGGGAGAGAAGAGAGATCTTAGGATGATCGGCGAATGTATACTGCGACAATTTGCAATGTGGACATAGTGAGTTCCGAGAACGGGTTATGAGGCACAAGGTCACCACGATGTTGGACGCAATTCCTCGCTCATTGGATAGTTTGTTTGCACACTCTTCACTCCGTTCACTCTCGGGATGTGTACATTCGGAGGCTGCCCTGCTTCCAGCATCCTACCAATCAACATATATGAGCCAAGCAAGTTACTCTCCTGCCGGCGAGTGCTTGAAAACAAGAAGTCATCAGGCACGTAGCTGCAATTGGAACGCCCTAAATCCTTGTTCCAATTTGGGCGGACGTTGCCAAACAGTCTAAATCCATTGCCAAACGTATTTTTGGGATTGTTGGAAGGTCGCTTTGTTTGAACTCCTGGTAGTTTGGAGGTGTGTCATGTGTCAAGGCCCGATCTATGTTTTCTCAAAACCTACATAGCTGAAAGAAGATGTCAGGGCGACATTGAAGACTGAAGACGTCTCAACTGACGATCCCAACAAAGAAACACCGAGATGGAACTGAAGGTTTCAGCATCGTTCTTTTTTAGGGATCCTCTTCAGAAATCAAACAGTAGCCAAAACCCTCTTTCGAAGGCTCCGGACGCTTGACAGCAGAACCCAAGAAGACCCCACCACTGCAAGTAGCAGAGACCTCATGTCACACATGTTTTCTCATTACCTCATCTTGAAAGCCATCGCTCTTAGGTTGGAGGCCCTCGCTGTTGGAGGCCATCGCCATTAGGTTATTAGGTTGGAGGCCATTGCTATTAGTAACTCAAAAGAAAGTTGTTTTTTAGTCTCCTCATTACTCCTCACTTGCCTTACGCCTGGGCCGCCATGGCCCGGGCCATCCTGGCATTGGCCGTTGCGGTGACCGGCGCAGACGGGACGGTGGCGGTGACCGGCGCCACGGGGAAGTTAGGACGACACGCGGTGGAGCAGCTGGTGGCGGCAGGCGATGGCTCGATGGTTGTGCGGAAAGAATCTAGTAGCTTCTTACTACTAGCGATGCACTTCTTACTACTAGCGATGCACTTGTTACTAGTAGCGATGCACTTGTTACTATGGATGGGGATTGTTCGGCGCAATATTTACCGGTTGGTTGGGTTTTGGGATGTTTTTTTGGGAGCATGCTGTGCCATGCAGTTTCTCCATCCCTTTTTGGACCATAGCATCTCGCCACTGAACCCCTTCGTGAGGCCATCCAGTGCGCTGCCTGGTGCGCTGCCAGGTTGGTGCCGTTGGTCGGCGAGATAAAGAGGCCACCAGCGAAGAGGCCGACTGCCACGCATCAAGATGTGTGCGTGTTGCATTTTTATATAGTTCTTGGGTGTAGTTTCAACCGTGGAGAGGAGCTTGTTTGGGAGAAAGCAAAAGCAAAATGGTGCGGAAATTAGATGGAGTGGCCTTGTAGGAAAGCACCGGGCAGTGGAGGTCTCTCCGCAAACGCATGCGAAAGGGGGTAAGTCAGAGATCAGTTCTTGTTTAAGAATACCGCACATGGAAGACCTACACCTACACCGCACAGCCCTTGACCTTACTCCCACTTGTTCCTACTAGCTTCTTGTTACTACTAGTAAGGCACTTGTTACTACTAGCGTGGC